TTGATATACAGGCCAACCCCCCCCCCCCCCGCCATCCCCCTTGTTGCCTGTTCTTTCTGTTTCATCTGAAAAAATTAGAAACATTTATCTACATTTCGTTGTCAAAGTGATCTTTTGTGTAGGCCTCTGTGAAGGCTGCTCACATCACATTTGATTCCTCTAGAAGTTCACTGATAAAAGGTATTTTGTTGTTGGTGATTGGCTTAAGGCCCTGTATTAGCAAATTTAAACGAGGATGTATTTTGTGTTTGTTGGGGGGGATTTTGTAATTGGCATCAGTAGCTGCGGTTCTGGAGGGCCATGGGGGGCCACTGGCTGCGCCTTCAGTCCAACAAGGCTCCAAGGTGGTGGACTATTTTTGTTATTTCCTTCCTACTGTTGTTTGTCTTGTGAGGTCTGTGCCTCCTGGCCCCTTTTAGATGGTATGAAGGGCAGCTGGTGTTGTAACACTGTTTTTGGAGGACCGAAGAAAGTGCACATTTCTGGGTGAAAGAATTACAGGAGAGAGAACGACATAATTCCTAGAGACAGGAGGTCACGATATTTTTTGGGATGCTCAGAGTTACATGTCCCATTTGTTTTTCCTGATATTCCATACTTACAGATGCCCCAAACAAAGAAATTTCAGATTTTCGCTTTTGGGTGGGTAGATTTTTTGGTAGATGTGTTCTTAATTTGTGCAGTTTCTAGGACAGCACTATAATCCTCAGTATCCAAGCCAGGGCCACCCCGTCCTGCTTCCAGAGAACTACTTTCCCCAGAAGAAGAGTTCTCCACTACATCTGTAATGTGGGCTATGGGGGCTATGTAATGTGATAATGCTTTATTTACAGTGAGCAAAGCCAGGGTATTTTTTCAGAATGGTTTGTAATATACCACTGTGGATAAAATACTCTGACATTTCTTGAACATTTCTGAGTGAGTTGTCTCTGAATTCGTTCATTTAATCGCATTCCAGTACATAATGACGTATGGTGTGACAATTGTGCATCTGGCGGTGAAGACTTGACCTTGCAAAAATACTTGTAACCCAGCCGGAGGCGGGTGGTAGTGACATCCAAGAGTCGGCTTATTTTGTTGGATGCACCTTAGACATGTGGCTCCTCCTGCATGATAGACTGATGATAGATGGACTGATTTGTGTCAGTCTCCCTAAGTCTTTAGTCAATAAAATTCATTTGAAGTTCTTTTCGTATTAGTGTTCTCAAACTGCTAACTGACAGCCCAAGATTGAAATCAATTCCCTCTTGGAAAGCATACAGCTTAGCCAATTTATCAGTTCTATCATGCATCTGAAGAACCAATGTGAGATGGAATCCACAGCATGTGCACTCTGACTCCACTGTCCACAATCCTACCATACCTGTGTCTGGCTTCTGACACAAGCATGCCACAATTTATACTTAATGAGATGAGAGCGTTAATAGATGACAGAATCAGTTACAACTAAAGTGTCAATTTTAGATACATGGACGCATTTGAGTGCAAGGAGTATGGCAAACAGTTCTGTTTGAAGGGTAGAGGCCCAGTTATTGATGCGTGCTCCAATTTCTTTATGAGAGCCATCACTCTGAATGACAACAGCAGCAATACCAGCTGCACCAGTGTACGACAGCAGCAGCACTACCAGCTGCACTAGTGTACGACAACAGCAGCACTACCAGCTGCGCCAGTGTATGACAGCAGCAGCACTACCAGCTGCACTAGTGTACGACAACAGCAGCACTACCAGCTGCACCAGTGTACGACAGCAGCAGCACTACCAGCTGCGCCAGTGTACGACAGCAGCAGCACTACCAGCTGCACTAGTGTACGACAACAGCAGCACTACCAGCTGCGCCAGTGTACGACAGCAGCAGCACTACCAGCTGCATGTGTACGACAACAGCAGCACTCCCAGCTGCACCAGTGTACGACAGCAGCAGCACTACCAGCTGCACTAGTGTACGACAACAGCAGCACTACCAGCCGCACTAGTGTACGACAACAGCAGCACTACCAGCTGCGCCAGTGTACGACAGCAGCATCACTACCAGCTGCGCCAGTGTACGACAGCAGCAGCACTACCAGCTGCACTAGTGTACGACAACAGCAGCACTACCAGCTGCACCAGTGTACGACAACAGCAGCACTACCAGCTGCGCCAGTGTACGACTGCAGCAGCACTACCAGCTGCACTAGTGTACGACAACAGCAGCACTACCAGCTGCACAAGTGTACGACAGCAGCAGCACTACCAGCTGCACCAGTGTACGACAGCAGCAGCACTACCAGCTGCACTAGTGTACGGCAACAGCGGGCCACTACAGCTGCACCAGTGTACGACAGCAGCAGCACTACCAGCTGCACTAGTGTACGACAACAGCAGCACTACCAGCTGCGCCAGTGTACGACAGCAGCAGCACTACCAGCTGCACTAGTGTACGACAACAGCAGCACTACCAGCTGCACCAGTGTACGACAGCAGCAGCACTACCAGCTGCACTAGTGTACGACAACAGCAGCACTACCAGCTGCGCCAGTGTACGACAGCAGCAGCACTACCAGCTGCGCCAGTGTACGACAGCAGCAGCACTACCAGCTGCACCAGTGTACGACAGCAGCAGCACTACCAGCTGCACCAGTGTACGACAGCAGCAGCACTACCAGCTGCACCAGTGTACGACAGCAGCAGCACTACCAGCTGCACCAGTGTACGACAACAGCAGCACTACCAGCTGCACCAGTGTACGACAGCAGCAGCACTACCAGCTGCACTAGTGTACGACAACAGCAGCACTACCAGCTGCACCAGTGTACGACAGCAGCAGCACTACCAGCTGCACTAGTGTACGACAACAGCAGCACTACCAGCTGCGCCAGTGTACGACAACAGCAGCACTACCAGCTGCGCCAGTGTATAACAACAGCAGCACTACCAGCTGCGCCAGTGTATAACAACAGCAGCACTACCAGCTGCGCCAGTGTATAACAACAGCAGCACTACCAGCTGCGCCAGTGTATAACAACAGCAGCACTACCAGCTGCGCCAGTGTATAACAACAGCAGCACTACCAGCTGCGCCAGTGTATAACAACAGTAGCACTACCAGCTGCGCCAGTGAATTGGTGTACGGAACCATCAACATTAATAATTTGTGAGTGTGCTGTGTGACTAAGTTATCAATACAGCTTAAGGCATCATGTTTGGCTTCAAGGCGAAGCTTTGGTTGTAATTTAAGAAGTATTGGGGGGGATAGAGGGATGGAAGCCTGGAATGGGGAAAATATTCCATGGAGCGGAGAAGTGCCACTGTTGCCTTACTTGACATAGATCATGTATCTGGTTCATGCGGTGGTCGGTCCCAATTTTCTCGATCCATCTGGAGGAGTGTTCACCAGTGCTGAGGAAAGTTTGGAGGGCTTCTGTGCAAGGGTTTGAATGAGCTTGTCTGAGTATATACACGCTGATGTACACCAGCCCTGGTGGGTGTCATCCCATCCAACCGTGTTATTACGATTTCGTGATTCTGGATGCAACAAATTGTCCGGAAGTAAGATGACCAAAAACCTAGAGCAGCGAATAAGAGAACATAAGGGCGCTGTCAGCAGCAGACAACCTGATACACAGTAACACTAAATACACACAATAATACAGCGCAACACAAGACAGTAATATACCGTAACACACAAGACATACAATAATACACCGTCACACACAAGACATACAATAATACACCGTCTCACACAAGACATACAATAATACACCGTAACACACAAGACATACAATAATACACCGTCACACACAAGACATACAATAATACACCGTCACCCCACAAGACATACAATAATACACCGTAACACACAAGACATATAATAATACACCGTAACACACAAGAATACAATAAAAACACCGTAACACACAAGACATATTTAAAAATACACCGTAACACACAAGACATACAATAATACACCGTCACACACAAGACATACAATAATACACCGTAACACACAAGACATACAATAATACACCGTAACACACAAGACATACAATAATACACCGTAACACACAAGACATACAATAATACACCGTCACACACGAGACATACAATAATACACCGTCACACACAAGACATACAATAATACACCCGTCACACACGAGACATACAATAATACACCGTCACACACAAGACATACAATAATACACCGTAAAAACACAAGACATATAATAATACACCGTTAACACACAAGACATACAATAATACACCGTCATACACGAGACATACAATAATACACCGTCACACACAAGACATACAATAATACACCGTAACACACAAGACATATTAATAATACACGTAACACACAAGACATACAATAATACACCGTAACACACAAGACATACAATAATACACGTAACACACAAGACATTTCAATAATACACCGTCACACACAAGGACATACAATAATACACCGTAACACACAAGACATACAATAATACACCGTAACACACAAGACATACAATAATACACCGTAACACACAAGACATACAATAATACACCGTCACACACGAGACATACAATAATACACCGTCACACACAAGACATACAATAATACACCGTCACACACGAGACATACAATAATACACCGTCACACACAAGACATACAATAATACACCGTAACACACAAGACATATAATAATACACCGTAACACACAGACATACAATAATTTCACCGTCACACACGAGACATACAATAATACACCGTCACACACAAGACATACAATAATACACCGTAACACACAAGACATATAATAATACACCGTAACACACAAGACATACAATAATACACCGTAACACACAAGACATACAATAATACACCGTAACACACAAGACACACAATAATACACCGTGTCATACAAGACATACAATGATACATCGTAACACACAAGGACACTCTATGATACAAAGTCAAATTGATCCTGAAGAAGAATGTTGTGTGGAGTCAACGTTGATTAGTGTCCGACATGCTGGTCTACGACTCCGGGAACTTCAGAACATCAGATGTCTTTGTTCATCTGGTTGTAACTCACCACAAGTTACAACAACACGCTGATCTACGACTCCGGGAACTTCAGAACATCAGGTGTCTTTGTTCATCTGGTTGTAACTCACCACAAGTTACAACAACAGGTGACCTGAAAAACTGAAAAAGAAAAAAATGGCGTTTTATGAAGTTTTTAAATTTAACGAAGATAGACCTTATTTTTATTTTCAGAACATTTCTCAGCAACATTTTTACCCATCTTGACCCCAGTAATTGACGTGATCTCTGTTCATTATAAATTCTATGTTTCTTCATGTTCTTTATTGCCATGATAAAGTTCCAGTGGGAGTCCAGTCCACTAATAAAACGTCCTAAGTGTAGAGTCTTCATTACCACACATTGATCACCTTATTTTGTATTATTAAAAGCGGCGCTTCAAGGGATATGGTGGATGCTAGTAAAAGTCTTTTAGTCCAAGAACACTATGATGTTATTGAAAGAGTTTTGCCGTTGTTGGCTGACAACAACAGCAACAGTCAGGTTAATAGGCAGTCATTAAGACAGTGTGATGTCAGGCCGGACAGCGAGGAGAGAAAAACCTTAAAAACCGGTTACACCTACCTTTACCTTTGATGAGTTTCGAGAGTTTTTCTGCTATCAGAGCCCTGCCCTAGACCAGGCTTATCTGGTACTTCCCTGATCAACTAGGCTGTTGCTGGTAGCGGCCCCCTGGCCAACATAGCCATCACAGCTTGATTGATCTGACACTTTGTATAGATACTTGTCCAGTTTCTTCACCTGTCCCAGCACTATTTCTGATATCTACTGGTAAGATGTTGAATAGTCCGGGACCACGGATATTGATAAAATGTTCTCTTACGGTGTCCACTGTGCCCTAGTTTTTTTCACTGGGTATGATTTTCACTTTCTCTCACATCTCTCACTCCAGTATGTAGTTATGACAGTGTGAAGATTTGGGAATAAGACCTCAAGTACTTTTCCTGTATACATTATCCTGAATATTAAAATGGTATACAATACCGACATGTTAATAAGTAAGATACATGTCCGAAACGTTTCGCCTACACAGTAGGCTTCTTCAGTCGGGTAAAGAGGAGTTTGCAGAAACCTACCTATTATACACGTGTCTTATCAACATTATCATGTTTCTCTCTCTCCTCCGTTCTAACGAGTACGGAGTTCCCAGTAATAGAAATTAATTTTTTGGGTCTATTTGGGCCGTAAATGATATCAGTATCTCTTCCAGCTTTGCTATCTTCAGTGCTGTGAACGAGGCCGTCAACAGTCAACAATAATCTCAGTTTTGAGGGTTGTCGATATTTGGTGTGATGATCATAAATGAATGTGCACTGATGTGTATTTTACAGGTGGCGGATCACTTTCTGACAGCGACACTGAGAGTGAACCTGGCATCCCCATCAAGAGGAAACAGAGGCGCTCCAGGACCACTTTCACAGCGGAGCAGCTAGAAGAGCTGGAGAGAGCGTTTGAGAGGACGCAATACCCAGACGTCTATACCAGGGAGGAGCTGGCTCAGAGGACCAAACTGACGGAGGCCAGGGTGCAGGTGAGACCAGTCCAATGGGCTTTTTATTTAACTTTATTTACCTGTCTACTATATTTACTTGTATTTAGTTGCATTTTACGACTAACACAAATTGAAAACCATAATTTAATGGCGTTTCAGTCCGTAGTGGACCAGTACTCAGTCATTTCCATTCGCTGACCGATCTCGGAAAGACCGAACTCGTTGATTTGAGACCTTCAGCAGATCGAAACTGAAGACCCGGAAGGACTGAATTCGCTGACTCAAACGTACAGAACTATGAGATTCAAACGTGTAAAACTCAAAAGAGTCAAAGTCACGAATTTAGACGAACTAAGATTATTCGCAGACTGGGATGTCTGGAACAGTTGTCCAGGTTTCTTTTTCATAGTGTGGGTTGGTTGTTTACTATTCCAGCTACGGTAATATAAATCTCAGTCTGTATTTACCTCAAGCCAGTTGTCTCTTAATATGTTCAGGGAGGACGGAAAACACAGCCAACCAGATTATACAGAAATTTTATGTGACAGGGAAAAATTTATATATCTTTATAAGACATGTGAAATGGCACATAGAAATTTATACCTAGATATTTATGCAACAAGACAATGAATATATATAGCAAGGAATCAAGTAGCAGTTTGCTTATTATTTCACGGACAAGACAGTCGAAAGATTTATATGGTAGGAGCCCAATGATAGGATGTTCATAGCAGTGAGACGTATACCAAAGAATCTTTCAGGGAAGGAGTAGAATTTCAGTATAGATAAATGATTACAAGAATACACACACACACACACACACACACACACACACACACACACACACACACACACACACACACACACACACACACACACACACACAGTTACAGTATTAGAACAGAAGTTGAAGGTTTGGTACACAAATGTGGATGGATTAACGAATAAATATGAGGAATGGCAAGAAAGAATCAATGAGAAGTCCCCAGACATCATAGCAGTTACAGAAACAAAACTCACGGAGACAATAACAGATGCAATCTTCCCACCAGGATACCAGATCATGAGGAAAGATAGAAGGGGCAGAGGGGGAGGAGGGGTTGCTCTGCTCGCAAAAAACCGATGGAAATTCGAGAAAATGGGAGGCATAGACGAGACAAGAGAAAGGGACTACATAGTAGGTACACTTCAGTCTGGGGAGCACAAGGTGGTCATTGCAGTGATGTATAATCCACCACAGAACTGCAGGAGGCCAAGAGAGGAATATGAAGAGAGCAACAGAGCAATGGTGGACACACTTGCTGAGGTGGCAAGAAGAGCTCACTCCAGCAGAGCAAAGTTGCTGGTTATGGGGGATTTCAACCACAGGGAGATTGACTTGGAAAACCTGGAGCCACATGGGGGTCCCGAAACATGGAGAGCCAAGATGTTGGATGTGGTGCTGGAAAACCTCATGCACCAACATGTTAAGGACACTACCAGAGTGAGAGGGGAGGATGAACCAGCAAGATTGGACCTTGTGTTCACCCTGGGCAGTTCAGACATTGAGGACATCACATATGAGAGTCCCCTAGGGTAAGACGAAGAGCAGGAGTGCAGATGAACAAAGAGTCTTCAGAACAGTATTTAGATACAGGTAGGGAAGTTTTCAATGCTTTTATGAATTTAGAAATGGCATATGACAGGATGAATAGGGGAGCAATGTGGCAGATGTTACTAAATGCTAAGTTACTAAATGCTGTAAGGAGCTTTTGTTAGGATAGTGAGGCTCAGGTCAGGATGTGTAGGAGAGAGGGAGACTACTTCCCGGTAAAAGTAGGCTTTAAACAGGTATGTGTAATGTTACCGTGGTTGTTTAAAATATTTTTAGATGGGGTTGTGAAAACAGTTGATGCTAGGGTGTCGGGGAGAGGGGTGGGGTTAAAATATGGGGAATCAAATACAAAATGGGAGTTATCACAGTTACTTTTTGCTGATACTGTGCTTTTGGGAGATTCAGAAGAGAAATTGCAAAGATTAGTGGACGAATTTGGGAGGGTGTGTAAAGATAGTTGAAAGTGAACATAGATAAGACTAGATAGGTTAGACACATAGGCAACAGTTAGGCAACTTTATTCCGAAACGCTTCGCCTACACAGTAGGCTTCTTCAGTTGAATACAGAAAGTAGGCAGGAAGAGTAGAAATGTGAAGACGATGTAATCAGTCCATCACCCTTGAAGTCGTAGATTTGAGGTTGTCAGTCCCTCAGCCTGGAGATGTTCAGTTCCATAGTCTGGAACTATCTGAAGATCAAGCGACAGTGTGGAGACTTAAATACTGTCGGAAGGAGAGGTGCAGAGTAGTAGTACCATCTTGGTACAGAAAACACCTTCGACAACATTTTCAAGTATGAATTGTTTGACCTGAAAGGGACGTGACCTCTCAGTGGCTACATTCTCACTACTACTACTCTGCACCTCTCCTTCCGACAGTATTTAAGTCTCAGCAATGTCGCTTGATTTTCAGATAGTTCCAGATTATGGAACTGAGCATCTCCAGGCTGAGGGACTGACAACCTCAAATCTACGACTTCAAGGGTGATGGACTGATTATATCGTCTTCACATCACTACTGTTCCTGCCTACTTTCTGTATTCGACTGAAGAAGCCAACTGTGTAGGCGAAACGTTTCGGAATAAAGTTGCCTAACTGTTGCCTATGGTCTAACCTACAAACCTGTTGGCATTGTATACCATTTTGATATTCATAGATAAGAGGAGGGTGATGAGGGCATCAAACGAGTTAGAGAATTGATGAACGGAAAAAGGTGGGTGGTGCATTGAGATATATGTGAAGACAAAGAACGTTATCCATGGAAGCAAAGAGGGGAACGTAGGAGAGTATAATGGTACCAGCACACTTATAAGGGTGAAGCATGGGTTGTGAATGTTTCACCGAGGAGGCTGGAGGCAGAGAATATGTGTCTGAAGGAACTGTGTGGCGTAAATATTATGCAGAGAATTAGTAGTTTGGAGATTATGAGGTGTGGAGTCACTATAAGTATTATCCAGAGAACTGAGGAGAGGCTGTGATGGTTTGGTCATTTGGAGAGGATGGAACAAATAGGATAACTTGGAGGGCGAATATATCTGTAGTGGAGGGAAAGCTTGGTAGGGGTCGTCCTAGAAAAGGATGGAGGGAGGGGGCAAGGGAAGTTTTGTGTGCAAGGGGATTGGACATACAGCAGGCATGTATGAACGTGTTAGGCAGGAGTGAGTGGAAACAAATCTTATTTAGGACTTGACGAGCTGTTGGAGTGTAAGGTAATATTTAGTGAAGGTATTCAGGGAAACCTGTTAGCCGGACTTAGTCCTGGAGGTGGTAAGTACAGCGTTTGCACTTTAAAGGAGGGGTTTGAGATTTTGCCGTTTAAAGAGACATCTAAACTGTCGTATCGGCCGGCCTCTGCAACGACAGTGATAGTGTAAATGATCGTGAAAGTGTTTCTTTTTCAGTCCACCTTCCCTTAGTGGGATGTGTGTGTGTGTGTGTGTGTGTGTGTGTGTGTGTGTGTGTGTGTGTGTGTGTGTGTGTGTGTGTATGTGTGTGTGTGTGTGTGTGTACTCACCTATTTGTACTCACCTATTTGTGGTTGCAGGGGTCGAGTCACAGCTCCTGGCCCCGCCTCTTCGCTGATTGCTACTAGGTCCTCTCTCTCCCTGCCCCATGAGCTCTATCATACCTCGCCTTAAAACTATGTATGGTTCCTGCCTCCACCACATCACTTTCTAGGCTATTCCATGGCCTGACTACTCTATGACTGAAGAAATACTTCCTAACATCCCTTTGATTCATCTGAGTCTTCAACTTCCAATTGTGACCTCTTGTGTCTGTGTCCCATCTCTGGAACATCCCATCTTTGTCCACCTCGTCTATTCCGCGCAGTATTTTATATGTCGTTATCATGTCTCCCCTGACCCTCCTGGCCTCCAGTGTCGTCAGGCCGATTTCCCTCAACCTTTCTTCATAGGACAATCCCCGTAGCTCTGGGACTAGTCTTGTTGCAAACCTTTGCACTTTCTCTAATTTCTTGACGTGCTTGACTAGGTGTGGATTCCAAACTGGTGCTGCATACTCCAGTATGGGCCTGACGTAGATGGTGTACAGAGTCTTAAACGAATCCTTACTGAGTATCGGAACGCTATCCGTAGGTTTGCCAGGCGCCCGTATGCTGCAGCAGTTATCTGATTGATGTGCGCCTCAGGAGATATGCTCGGTGTTATACTCACCCCAGATCTTTTTCCTTGAGTGAGGTTTGCAGTCTTTGGCCATCTAAACTATATTGTGTCTGCGGTCTTCTTTGCCCTTCCCCAATCTTCATGACTTTGCATTTGGCAGGGTTAAATTCAAGGAGCCAGTTGCTGGACCAGGCTTGTAGCCTGTCCAGATCTCTTTGTAGTCCTGCCTGATCCTCGTCCGATTCGATTCTTCTCATTAACTTCACATCGTCTGCAAACAAGGACACTTCTGAGTCTATCCCTTCCGTTATGTCGTTCACGTATACCAAGAACAGCACAGGTCCTAGGACTGACCCCTGTGGAACCCCGCTTGTCACAGGCGCCCACTCTGACACCTCGTCGCGTACCATGACTCGTTGTTTCCTCCCTGTCAGATATTCTCTGATCCATTGCAGTGCCTTTCCTGTTATGTGTGCCTGGTCCTCTAGCTTTTGCAGTAACCTCTTGTGAGGAACTGTGTCGAAAGCCTTCTTGCAGTCCAAAAATACGCAGTCGATCCACCCCTCTCTCTCTTGTCTTACTTCTGTCACCTTGCCCATAAAACTCTAGTGGGTTTTTGTGACACAGGATTTTTCCTTCCCTGAAACCGTGCTGGTTGTCAATTTACATTTGGGTTTCTTTCCAGGTGTGTGTGTTGTGTGTGTGTTTTGTTTTTGTGTGTGTGGTGTGTTGTGTGTGCGTGTGTGTGTGCGTACTCACCTAGTTGACTCACCTAGTTGAGGTTGCGGGGGTCGAGTCCGAGCTCCTGGCCCCGCCTCTTCA